CTATTGACTTTTTGTGTAGGTCTTGGTCCCTTACATAAGTGTTCCAAATTTCAAACATACTTCATATTCTCTGACAAACAATCATTAGTGTGTCCAGCCCAATGGTAATGCGGAGGACACGTTGATGAGTTGATCATTTCTATTCTCTTCTCTTAGACATAACAAACTGACATCTGCTGAGAAATATTTATTAGAGACGCATAAACATGTTTCACAGGTGGCTCCTGTCACAGCTCCATTCTGGAGTTCACTGAGCTCAGGAGATCTCAATTCTTTTTTTATATTTTTTCTCCTGTGATTATAATAGCGATTGGGACATTTTGCATATAACAAGTGAATGGAAGAGGAGTGCTGTACCTGGGAATGAGCATTGTCTCCTGGATGAACTCCAGGAACTGTGGGTGATCTTTTCTAGCAAGGTACAGGCACTCTCCATGTAGACAGAGAATCTTCAGACAGCTTAGCATGTTAAAGAGAATGTCAGGTTCCTCATATCGACCCATCTCCTACGAGGGGAAACAGAGGACTCAAGAGGCACATTTTAAACCTAAGAAATGCTTTCAGGGCAACACTGGAGCTCACCTGAAGAATAGTGTACAAAAGCTTGAGGGACACGGGAAGTTCCTGGTAGGAGAACTTCCACTTTGGACTGTTTGTTGATGCTGGTAACAAATTTAAGCATAAATAATTTAGATTTCTTTCCTGCTAAATATAAGTAAATATACTATGTGAAATGAGCTTTGTAGAGAAACAGAGCTGCAGATAATGGAGATCAAAATGAAGGATCGATGCAGGAAGTATGATTAAATACACTTCATTTTGATTTAGGTTTTAAATGCTTCTTTTAAGGCAAAGCTTTCAATTTAACAGTTAATCGACTCTCCTGCCCTCAGCAGGGTAAGCTTTGGGAAATTAGTCTAGGCCCAGTGACCAATTTATTAATGATTGAATTAGATTGATGAAAAACGATAAATAACTTTACAATAAAGTACATTAGACCATGCACTATCTAGGATTTAGTATGCTTTTCGGAGGGACTGTCTACTTTCAAACCAACAAAGAATTAGGGAAAATAGGGATAAAGTGTGCAGTTATGGGGGATCAGACAAGATAGGTGTTGTATGCACTTTAAAAGATGAGGTGGAGGTGAAGTTTAAATTCATTGGTGGTCTAAAGACAGGGATGCCGTGTATATTTTCAAGGGGGGTGCAGAGAGGAACTGAGATGCAGTTTGTTACTGTAATCTGTGGAAAGATGTACGAAGGTCACTTCAAAGGGTTCTTGGAACAGGGACTTTCAAGGGGTCTGAGGAGCTTGGTGCAGAGTAAATTTTCAAGGGGTCTTAAGAAAGAGATGCAATAAGCACTTATGAGAGCACTTGAGTGACGGAGAGTGATGCGGTGTGCACTTACGAGGGGTCTGGGGTGAGATAGAGTGGCTGCTGTAGCTTTCTGAGGGCTCGTCACCTTCATTGCTTTTTTTCTCTGGTTTAGCAGAAAAATCGGCTCGAGGAAACACCAGACTCTCCTCCAGACATTCAGACGGCTCCTGTGACAGACACAAAAGATAAGGACAAACAACCCAAGAGAATTGTTCAAGTGAAGCCACTGCAGACAGAATAAGTGTTTGCTCACCACCAGGCGAATCTCCTGTGGTGGTGCCAGTCTTTCCAAGAGGTGGCAGGCCAGCTGATAGCACAGGATGCTGGACTGGCACAGGCTACACTCAGCGGGCTTCTCTTCCTTTTGCTCCTGACGGCAGCTATGAGAGCCTCCCCATGGAGCCTGGAGGACACTGTTAATGATACTCAGAACATCCCGAGACTGAGAACTATCCAGATCTAGGGTCAGAGCATCCTCTTGGAGTTCCATCTGAGAAAAATTGCAAGATATGCTTTGAGATTAACAAACAAAGTCTTCCTTTTTGGTTTGCGCTCTGAATACTTCCATCAGAAGACTCATTTTACAGACCCCAATTCAGTGCCGTCTAGTGGTGAAAAGAAGGGATAACCCTTGGAAGTAAAATACCTGTGATATGGCCTGTGTTTTGCAAAGCTCTAGCACAATACAAAGTACAATGGCACAAAAAGTACTTGGAACAGGGTCAAGTTTAGGAGGTTTAGGAAGCATGTTTTTTCCTCCCAATTTTCACATTGTTTTGACCTTGTCTTTGCTTTTTTTGGTGGATTCACAAATTCATATAACACTTTTGATTTTTGTTACAAAACGTAAATACTATTGAGATTGTTGGAGTGAAAAAAAAGACAAAATGTAACACTCGAAATTATACTTTTTGTAAAATTTCAGGTTTGTTGTGTAATGTAATGAAAAAAATGGGGGTGTTCTACAAAAATGTTATCAAGCATTGCCACAAAAACTATGTAATTTACCAGAGCAACTTGAAACATAGTAAAAAAAATGCTCAAAAGGCCCTGGACTTCCAAGGGTTAAGTCCAGGATGGTTAAGGCTGAATCCACATTGAAGCAAGTGTTTAGGTATCTCTGAGGACAAAAATCAACTCACCTGTTTGAGAACAAGATCAAACATGAGGATGAAGCAGCCCAGGTTCAACTCTTCATCCTCACAGTCAAGATCCAAAGCGCAGTGAGCTGTGACTGGGCCCAGGCTCCTGAAGGGGCTGAAAGGGCTGCGAGGAGGGCTGGGAAGGGGACTTGGAGGGTTCTGTCTAGCAGCCCGGCCTGGGTCTGACAGCATGCTCACCTGCCCACATTCATATAGAGAGACAAACAACAAGCATTTCGAGTGAGACTCATTCAGAACTGCAGCGTTTTATATCCAGGGTTTAGGTGCATAATCCCCTGCACAAGTGTTTTTAACTACTCTCGGTAAAATTACCAACAATCTTCAGAGTTGCTTCTGAATTGGGTCTTCTTCCAGTATTGGTGCTTCTGGAATTGTACTTGACACTGTTGCCCACCATACTTGCCTTGGCAGAATTAAGGCTATTGGGTTGTCTTGTCCTCATATGTTTCCACTCCTATTTTTCCAACCTCTCCAAATTTGTCCAATTCAAACAATGAAGCTCAAGTTCGTATTCCACCAAGGCTCAGTATCGGGTCCCCTTCTTTTCATCATTTATATTCTTCTGATTGGTTCCATATTGGAAATATTTGGTATTTCATTGCTTTACTCTAATCCTGAAATATCTTCACCACCCTCATCACTTCTTGAGTGCCGGTGCAGAACTTAAAGACACTCAAGTTTGACACGTCGTGCTTCCCACAGTGATGCTTTCGCCATGCCCCTAGCTGACCAACCCTCACCTGTCAAACACAATTTCTTTACAATGTTCTTCAGCGTGGGTCTGCTGTTCTCACTTCAAGATAGTGCACCCGATCTGTGTGGAGATGAGCTGTACAAGCGTTTAATTTGATTGGTCAGTGGGCAGTGCTAGGAACATCGAATCATTTTCAGCTCACAAAAAAGGAATACAGGATTACACAAACTTGCATGAAAGATTCTAAATAAAGCTTGAGGCATGTTTTGGATGAGAGAACAACCCTAAAAGTTGCTAGGAATGGCAGAAAAGTAGATTTTTCATAATATGCCACCTTTAAGAACATATGTCCTTAACCTCTTAAGCCCTGAGGCCTATTTTCCGAAAATCCTATACTTTTACTTTTTAAGGCATTTCTCAGCTTTTACAAGGCCTAAACTGCAAATCTTGGTATCAAAATGAAGATAGGTTCTTGGGGAGTGGTGTGGATGAGTTAATTTGACAGTCAAGAACACTGGGTAAGAGTAATTGATGTTGGAATGGCCAAAAAATGAACTCCGCCTAAAAAAAAAAACACATGTTTCCTCCAATATCTCCTTATTTTACTTATAACGAAGCAAATAAACACAATCAATTGTAACCACTACATGTCAAGGACATCTGTAGCAAGTTTGGTGTTCATACTACAAGAAACTAATATTCTGTAAAGGTTTTGATTGAACAAAGTTCAGGCGTAATCCATGTTGGCACAGTTTGGCACAATTTGGCACAATAATTGAAATATGGAAAAATCTTGTCCAAAGCTTCAGCTTCGTTAATAGTCTTCTTTTGTTGCTTATGGGACATGATTTCAGCAAAAAAAACTCCTAAAGAAACGCTGTAAAAGGGGGGTAGAAGCTCATTTACGCCATCTTGCTGCGCTTTTGGGAACCTTTCATTCACAAACGCTTTCGACGTCGAGCTTCTGCGTGTCCCTACCCCCCGACCATCTGTCCAATCCGGGAGATCTATATATCGCTGGAAAGCTCTGATTCTATGGAAACCAATCAGCTCAACCATTTTGAGACTGACGGGATCGCCGACGAATCACACGACGCGCAGCGTGGAGAGACGTGCTCTTACGCACGGGGAGTCATTCCATATTTGGTGACGTAAGAGGAGCACTGGAGCAACAGAAAAAACACAAAATGGACTTTTCGCGAAGCTATCGACCGGACATAACAACAAACGGACTTTTATCGCTATGGAAATAACTTTTTGTTGAAAAAACGGCAAAGGTAAGACAAGATTTACATGCTTGCTTGGTTTTCGCTGGCGTTTTTTTCGTGGAACTTTCGCTCCCTGCTCTGAAATACTTCATGCAATGTTAATGAGTTGCATATCGCTGGATTCAGCTGGTTGTTAGCTTTCATTTAATGTCATGGTTTTGGTGTTTCCGTTTATATTGTGGATACATATCGCACATAAACAAAAACGTGGTCATGAATTATACTCCGGACATGTTGTTGTTTATTTGCATGGCGTTCGAGCTGTGGTTAACGGATATGAAATTGAATTAGATACGTTTTTAGAGGAGTTTCCGCTGAACACAACAGTATTTAATATGTGTGGGTTATTCTCAGGGTTAGTGAGCTATGAGTGAAAATGTAACGCACAAGGGGGCAAGTCCCCGGTACCGGGGACTCTCGGGCTTAAGAGGTTAAAGTGCAATGAGCTGTGTCCCTTTTGTAAGCTGACTAAATAAGATGCAGATATCAAAACTCGACTCTGGTGGGACTTGAACCCACAACCTTTGAATACCTTGAGTCCAATGTGTTACTCATTGCACCAGAGAGCCCTTATGAAAAAAAAAAACGGTTCTGTAAGTGTCCATACGTCTATGGAAATGCCATTAGCAGATGCATTGACTTGTCACACCACCTTGTTTTCTTGTCTTTTAATCAATCAGTGACAGGTCTCTCACCCTTCGCTCTGCTGTGTTTCCATTGGGCTCTATGGTTGGGGCTTGCGCCTGAGTTGCCAGCTCCTTCAGCGAGTTCACGCCATCAGAAAACATGCCGATCAGCAGCTGGAGCGGAACCACAATGTCCAGCTCAGAAAGAACCTACCAGACAGACAGCAGGAGTGTCTAAGCCTGTATGATAATAGGTCATATGTCTGTGTACACTCACATGCAGCCAAAGCAACGCTTGCTCCTGCACCGATGCTGGGAAACCAGTGAATCTGCAGCTGATGAATCCAAACATTTCCTCCATGGAGAAGGGGAGGGGGCACAGCTCAATATCAAACATCTTACTGGGGAGAAACACAGAAACACACGGGGTCTGAGAGAAACAATACACTCGTCTACAGGGATTTCAGGATGTTCGTTCGCAAGCGCTGTACCTCAGCACCTCTCTGAACTCCCTCAGATTAGCTGCAGGCACTTCAGACCGCAGTGCCTCCATCCACTCAGGCATCACACACTCCCAGAGCGACTGGCTTATCACGTTATAAGGAATGAGACACAGGAGGCGGTTCAGCCCTTCTTTCAGCTGCACCACTGAGCTGCAAGTCTTATCCCAGTAACCCCCAACCTGGTGACACATGTACATGGAGAAAGTTTATACGGCAGGGCTGCAGAAGCATCTGTTTGAAATACATTTGGCTTAATTCACACTTACCCGGGCAAACTCGGCAGGTTTGGGTAGCAGGCATATCACCATAACATCGAAACGCACATCACACACCGTCTTCAGCCACTTGGTGACAAACTGTGGCTTAAGTTTTTCCACCAGGCTGCCCACCTCATCATCCATCATGTACGCGGTGGAGTGGAACCACTGGAAGACCATGCTAACCAGCCGTGCAAGGCTCTCTGTGGGGGTGTTCTCACTTGGGGTGCACAGGCTTACCTTTAATAAAATAGAACATGCAGTGTGAGCAACAGTAAAAGTCTCAAATGATATATTTTTCAAACAGGAATGACTACCAAGAATCAAGAATGCATGATTATTTGGTGGGACTACAATTAAAACAGTTGTTACAATGGAAGCCAATGGGGCACGAACAATAAATGAGGGAGAAATAATGAAAATCTGGTGCTACACAAAAACTAAAAATACCAATGTTGCTACTCATTTTTCACATGGCCAAAGTCAGTCATTTTGATGTCCGAAATCAGTGACATCATGTAGCATCTTGGCAATTAAAGGGTAAAATCCAGAATTTTTCAACAATTTTTACAGCAGTTTACTTTAGTGGCTGTTAACAGACATGAACAAAAAGAAAATGTGAATTTGCCCAGAGTCCATTTCTCAGTTTTTAAAAAAATTTCAAAAGCATTAAAAAAAAAAAATGTTTGTGAAAATAAGATTTGTCTTAAAAATCATTAAACTTGTTGAAACAGAGAAAAGGTTCCACGCTTAAAATCATTCTGAAGTGCCAAACCATCCCCAACAACACTTTATGGTTTGCTCGCTCCTGCTCATTCCGGTCAGCTCCGTGGCTTCAATAGCTGAAATCACTTTTTGATTTTGCAGACCTATCTCATATCTCAGTATGTGCCTCACCAAGAACCAGATTCCGAACTGGCTGAGCAGCCTCTGGTCATGCTGGTCACCCTCTTTATTGTCAAACTCCAGGTTGTCCAGGGAGTGATGGGATGAGGACAAACCCATCTGACGTCTGCGGTTCAGCTCAGTCTCTCGAAGCTCTGCATGGATCTCAGCTTCCTTCAACAGGCTGTCAAACAAACACATGTGCACGCACACACTAGTTAAAAAAAATAAAATAAAAAATAATCATCGCACATATAGGCGTGTAAAATTTTGTCAATTCTCTAAAGATGGGTTAACACAAGTTTTTGTATAGGATACACAGAAGAAACTTAAAAATTTTAAAATGTTTTTTTTCTACCGCTTTAATACCTTTATTTTAAAAGCATAACAATTTTGAGATAACAGGAAAAATTGTTGTTGAAAAAAGGGAAAGAAGTTTAGTGCTGAACAATGGTGCATATGACAATGTGGTGACCAGGGGGGCACATGTGCTCATCTCAGGTTTAAGGTAATACACTTGATCTAATGGTCAACATTTTCTCATACACAAAAATGTATGCAACTAAATAATCAAACTCTTATTTTCAGTAAAAGCAGAGCAACTGAACACGGTTCCATAAATGTGGTCTTCAAAGAACACTTTATTCCTTAAATCTGGGTGATTTATTTATAAGTAGGCAAGCCCTGGTGAAAGATTGAGATTTGTTTGTTTGACTTTGTTAAACTATGTACACACGGCAGTCGTTGAAATGAAAAACTTTGCAATGTTTGTCATGCAATGTCCGATTGGCTTCAAACTTACCATGCCTGTTAAGAGTCCATGTTTGAACAAATCTATATAGCAACCAGGTTGTTGGTTATAGCGCCACCAAGTGGTAGCATGGAAAATCCCATTATTTGCTATTTTAAAATGTGTTTGAATGACATGCTTGAGAATTGTAACACTTATGTAATGGACGAAGACCTTCAAAGTTAAATGGAGTGTTTCCAAACTCGACATGAAGTCAGTGATTTAGATTTTTATTTTTTTTTTTTGGGAAAAATTTGCCCAATACCAGGCTTAATACTTTAACAAACTCCTATTAAAGATTTCATGTAATCACTTTAAAAGCTTTTTGACTTTGTTAAACATTGTACACACAACGGCCATCAAATTTTGACATTTTGCCATAATTTATAATATCTGATTGATCCCAAGTTTAGCAATAATGTTAACAGTCCATGTCTGAACACTTCTACAAACTGGTTATAGTGAACATACACAATTATAAATTGATAAGCTATTTTTTTTTTACCAATTTTAACATATGTGAAAAAAAATCACCAACTCACAGTGCTACCTGGGGCTCACAATACTTTTAAGGTGGTTTTAATTTGTAAATTGCTAAAAGAGCTAAAAGATCAGGGTTCAAAATAATCCCAAAATTCAACTGTGAAAATATTTAAGATGCTTTTTCAATCCTGAAAACATCTGTGGTTACAACCGTTCTCACTCTCAGTAGATCACTTTACTGGCAGAATACAATCTGTTTTTTTTAACATGTGTTCAGGTTAAAAGAGAAACTCTGAGCTGTGTTCTTTAATTTGCAACTTCAATAGAGCCCACTTTGTTTTACATTGAACTGTTTTATTCAGTTACTTACAGATGTTTTTTTAGAAGTAAATCTAATTTTATATATTATTTTAAGCCGTATATGGAACATTATAATAAGCAACCTTCATAATTAATTTATGATAGATTAATCATTTAGTAACATTCAGTGGTGTAAAGTAACTAGTTACAAATACTCAAATTACTGTAATTGGGTAGTTTTTCACAGAAATTGTAATTTAGTGCGTAAAGATGCATACTTTTACTTGAGTACTTTTCTAGTTCTGTTCTTTTACTGCATGACTTTTTTCAACCTGCCTTAACTCTACAAGGATTGGCACCTATCCTGTCCAATCATATTGCGTATAAAAAAAAATTCTTTTGTGGTGCATACATTTTTGCACATGCCAAATTGAAAAAAAATCTCAAAAATCTCTGTCTCTTATTTGATATACTTAACTGAAATTTCTTATCCAGACAACCAATGATTTATAATGTTTATAAAATTTACAAGGGGTGCCCAGTGAGAGTGTGACCTGATGACAGCCTCCACGCTGCACACCAGCTCCTCTGCTCCACATTCACGGGTGTTGATGGGGGGTGGTGAGGTCTGGTAGAGATGTGTCTCCAGTTCGCTGCTGTGGTGATTGACATGGCAACGCTTGCAGTAGCGCACCGGCCGGTTGCCGTGGCGACCACAACATCCAGCAGAGAAGCAGGTGACAACAGCACGTCTTACATGAGAGCTACAGTTCTGACAAACACACAAGTGGATAATGAACGTGATCAGAGCCGACAACTGGAGACCACACAAATACCAAAAAAACAAGCCTTAATCCCACACCCAACAATTAAATATAAACTTGAACATTTGCGCACCACGTTTCTTCATTCAAAACTGACCCTTAGTATTATTTTATTGTATTTTTATAATATTGTTATTAAACTATAAAATCATGACTTGGTCAGAGACAGAAAAAAGTAGGAAAAACCTATTTCAATTGTAGGCATCACATGCAATTTTGTGTTTAACAGAAGAAAGTACTTGTGTTTGAGTTTGTATAGACAGCAGAGTTTCTGCTCAGATGCTCTGACACTAAAAGAACCATCCTCCCAGGGTCGTACACAGAGTTACTGACCTTCTTCTGGCAGATGGCAGAGATCTCAGCTGTCAAGAGGAAAAACATAACACATAATCAAATTCAGGCCCATCCGCTGATTCTTGTAAAAAAAAAAAACAAAAAAAAAAACAGAAATCACATTTCAAGCGTCCTCATAAACTGATTAGGATTAAGTATGAATAAAATGCAAATTATTAGAATTTGGAAAAAAGTGTTTAAACTCCCTGCATTTGCGACAAATAAATAATTCGTAATGTTTGCTTTATTCAACCTGCAATGTGTCCAGGGGGCATAAATAAGGGAATAAATGTGCAAGAAAGTGAATGAATGAAAGGTTTATTAAACAGTGAGAGACAGAATAATGTCTGAAAAATTTTGAAGAAAAGTTATAAACTGAACTAATGATATGATTATTTGAGGGAAATAATTATTTAACCCCCTAGATATAAGCAACATTTAAGGCTCCAATAGGAATCGTTTCTATAGCAGATGATATGAGCCTCTTACAGGCAGCAATTAGGATTGTTGCCTGAATAGACAGCCATGTTTCCTTCCAAAGATGCAAATTAAATTGGAATATTGCACA